AGACTCTTACACTAATACCCATAAATCCTCAAATATTTATTTTTCTATCATCTCAACTTTATTTTTTAATAAGAATCAAATATTTCATATCACATATAAAACATCATTATCCTAACATTCAAAAAGTGGAAAAATATATATTTTCATGCATAGATAAGGATTGGGTTGCACGTATATAAAATTTTAATCACTGGCGGCTCCAAATCCGACATTTTTGCCATTCGGAACAGCTTTCGGGTCTGACAGAACCAGAAAAGAAGAGTGGTCTCCAAAATAAAAGGAATTCAGCCTCCATTAACGCTCTGCAACGACCCATCTTCTCGGTACAAATCTCTCACAAAGCTGCTTGGTCCCTTTCGAAGAAGAATCCCATGCATTTGAAAGCACAGATTAAACACTACAGACTCGCCGAAGGCCTTCGATTTCGATGATTATTCGTGTAATTCATATTATGCACGTATCTTGAGAAACAATGAGAAGGGTGCCGTTAAAGGTGTTCTGTTTCTGAAGGAACAAATCAAAAACGATATGTCCCATCTGCTTCCGGTCGCTTTGACCGCCCCCGCCCTGCTCATCGTTATCCATTTGAGCATTTTTGTTTTTTTATTTTTATTTTTATTTTAGAAATCAAATCAGAACTATAAATATAAATTATCATAAATTATATTAATAATTCTAATATTAAAATATATGCATTAAAATGTATATTTAGCTAAAAAATAATTAGTGTTAGTTATATTTTGTATGCAATGTTTAAAATTTGAGTGATGCATATATAGATATAAGAGTTTAGATACTATATACATAAATAAAGATGCATGATAGAAATCAATTTTTCTAAAGTAAAGCACATGTCCGACAATTCTACGCATAATGGAAATTGATTTTTCTGGACCTACTGACCCGAATTAACACCTAATATTAACCTCACTCTCTGACGTGTTAGTTATGTGGCTCATGCTGCCGAGCTGACCTGCAAGACTTGGCAAACTAATTCATTGAACTCGTCTGTCAGCTTCATTTAATGAACTGACCGGTTTGACACACCAGCCTATATCTCTTCGTGAGGCAATCCTTGGAACTATCAAACACAAAAGACAAAATCGACTTTGATGATAGACATATGTCACATCCTCATTTATGAACTATCTGTCATCCACGTTATTATATTTTTATTGAGGTTTTGTGGATTAATTTTATACGTTATGACTTGTATTTTTAAATTCTTTCTTAAACATGTATACGGGACATAAAGTATGGGGTCCGCAACTTCGACTGCATAGAAGTAGTGCAAGTTTGAATCTAACTCCATACATCTATCTTTTTTAATTAATTCAAATGAGCTATTTCCAGTCGAATGCGAGTCGAACACGAATAAAAATATGTAAATCAAACTAAACACGAACACATTGTTCACGAGTAATTCTAAACACCAGTCAATTTTTAACAAGTAAAACATGAGCTAAGCCTGAGCTTACTCAAACTCGGCTCATTTACAGCCCTAGCGCCCCCAACTATAGCCACCTAAAATGGAGAAAAAAGGGCATATGCACCAGCTTTGCACGCCCAAACGCTCATAGACATAAGATTGTGGTTCAACATCTTGAATTATGTCGCTTCATAGATGGAATGATAAAGATGCATTAACTGAACTATTTGGGGATAAATAGTCATTGTAGAATGTTCTAAAACTTAACAATTAGAAAATTGGGACAAAAGTTTGAGGAGAACGCTTGTCAAATTCAACATGCTTTGTTGGATGGATCCTAGAAGAATGTGAGTGCGTGTGAGAGTTTTTATAAGAGAGAACAAGTAAGCGTTTATAATTATTGAAATTCAAAGTTGGTGGAAACTCAAAGAGTTTCTTGTATAACGAATAACATCGACAAGATTCTATCTCTTTAATATTAAATTTAAAATGTAATGTTTGTTGTGTTCATATGTAATAACCATGACTTAAACTTCTCTCTCCGTTAGATTGGATTTTATGCAAAATAATATCAATTTTGTTATGTTATTGTGTATAATTTAGATATTAAGTTTATAGTTTAATCTCCTGATGTAATTTATTTCTAAATTAGTTACTTGGTATGTTAAAATGGGTCGTGATATAGTATTATGGGGTAATGCTGGTAGAACAATTATATTAACCTACGTAACTACAAGAGAACATAACTATTATGGTCAAGATAGTGAGATTGTGCAAAAAACAAATTGCAGACAGTTGCTTTTCGCATATTTAGGAGACCAACTGCAAAATGAAATCCTAATTTTCTTATGACCACCACGACGGGATAAGAAAAGTGTTATTTCATATTGTAAATTTCATTAGAGTTTCTCAGATATATTTGATTTGTATATAACAAATTCAATATGGGTTTTCTATCACTTATTCAAACTCAAAACTGGCTATAAGTGTTAATTTTTGGGAAAAAAAAACTTAGAAACTTTAAAATCAATAAAATTTGAACCATCGGGCTATACTCAAAATCAGCAGACCATAACTTTTTAAAACTTTATGAGTTCATTCGTTCCCCGTGGAATTGAAAAACAAACTCTTCTTAATACTATTTGGTCGGCACATATACTTTCGTGTATCGTCGTGCTTCATAGCATTTTCGTTGCATCAATTTTTTGGCTCCATTATCAAGGAACAATATTGAATTTCCAATGTTAGAGAGATTTTAGTTGAACCATTATGTTTTATACATGTAAATTGTTATGTTGTATTTTTGTGTGTTATATTTTGTGTTGGAAAATCCAAAAAAAAAAAAAATGTTTCGTGCTTCCGATTTCTTTTAGATTATTCCTACATATTTGTATGTATTAGTATCTCTTATATTTAGGGCCACTCACTTGATGTTCCTAGTTATGTATGCGTCGGACTTGAGCATCAAAACTAGCGTAACTTGAAATAAATGTGAAGAAAGAAAAAACCACCTATAATTCTGGTGCCTGTGAATCTCACCAAAGAGATGTAATGTAAGTGATGAGAGAGTGTGCGTGTGTGTTGAATAATAATGAATAATAATATCTTTTCATAAAATATTTTCCCTATTTGTAGAGGAGGTAGTAATATAATGCCATTATATTTTTACCCCCATTTGAAGAGGAGATGTAATAGGGCATTTATAATATTTTATAGCAACTGACCTATTATCTCGTTACCTTTTGGATCAACCGATAAAGCTTAGCTGATTTGGCTCAATTAGGTATGTTCGGTCGGTTGAGCTTAATCGGTAGGGCTCAGTCGAGTGATTCAACCCGTTTGACTATCTTCGATCCTAGTTGGGCAGACTTTGGGTCTCCGTTGGATGATTAGAGTTACTTTGTGGAACTAAGTCTTCCATTAAATCGACTCCACTATGGGACAAACTATCACATCAAGTCCGCTTTCCTGCAGTGGATGACCTAGTCACTCACTTGATCATATGATCTACACTTGGATTACCAGGTTGTCTTCTTGTCTGTCTTTTGGTTTGGTTGGCTTAGGCTTAGTTGGCTTGACGGTTGTCTTCTTGTCTGCCTTTTGGTTTGGTTGGCTTAGGCTTAGTTGGCTTGACTCACACAGCTTGGCTCGTTCAATGAGGTGTGTCTCATGATATCCTTAACGTGGATCTGCCTTCGTCTTGTTCTTTTCTCACGCACAGTTTAGACATATTTTTGATGCACATATAACATTTGATTTGCTTTACTAACTAAACAAGTAAAACTTGTCTCAAAGTTGGATCTAAATGCTTGTTGTCATAAACCCTTAGTTTAATTATGTATACATCTCATAAAGTATAATACAAGATTTCTACTAAAAAAGAATCTCACTTAAAATCATAAATTATTATTTTTTTCATTAAGCACAAAAAAAATGTTATTTGTATTTGAAAAATGAAAAAAAAAATCAATTACAATGTATGCTGTTGACCATTATGCAACATGACTTTTAAAATTTATGAACCAATTTGACTTTTAACATAGATTTTACAAATTGTTGACTTAATTTATAATACCAATTGCTCAACAATCCTTTTTTTCATCCATATGTTCTACAAGGGTGGTACATGCTTATTTTTTTAAGGGGCAAACTTATTAAGAAAATAAATTATTTTCTTACAAATTTAAATAAATAATGTGTAACTGAATAAAAGTAAATCAATAAATAAGGGATAGTTTAAAGTTTTATCCCGATCCACATTTTAAAAGCACAAATTTGATCGAGTTTAAAGCAACATTTGCAGACCAATTACTAGAGTGGGGGCAAAATGCACTTCTAAGGAGGGGAAAATCATTAAATTGTAATATGAACCCTCAACTAAAAATAGCTTACATTTATAAACAATAAAAGAGAATAAAAAAAAAACAAAATAAATGAAAATATCTTTAATCATGAAAAAATATTACAATAATAAATATTATATATTATTTCCATAAATATTAAACACATATTCATTGAATAATTACTATAAATGCAATAAAAATAATCATTTACAAGGAATGTTAGCTTGTTGATTTATTCATTGAGAGGCTAGATTCATATCTAAAGTGCAAAAATTAATACATGCAATTAGTATATATTTTTAATTAAATTCACTCAGAAAAAGATATAAAAACATATCCTATCTATTATTGAAATAAAAATTAAATTTTTCTATAAAAAATATTTATTTAATTTAAAATTTTAATTGATGAAGCAAATAATTTGAATAACAATATTTAAATTAAAAAAAACAAAATATTTTATTTTCTACCTTCTAAATTGGGAAATTAATTTTTTTTTCTAAATAAAATAACTATTTACAAAATTGTAAATGCAGTCATCCGCATTTATCGCAAGGGAACAATTTTACCAGTCGTAATTAATTCTGCCGGCTATCAACAGATTCACGCCGCAAACCCCTTAAAATCCGACGGCTATAATGAAACATAACTTTCATTTACAGCCGTCCGATGCCGAAATTCTCAACCCCCCATCTTCTCCTCTCTCCGACTATAAAACGCAGCAATCTCTCAGACAGCGCTCAATTAGGGTTTCGGCTGGTAGGAATCTGAGCGGACAGATCGAAGATGGCGCAGGAGGGCGTTCGATTAAAGGGAGTCGTGAAGTGGTTTAACGGAAGCAAAGGGTTCGGATTCATAACGCCGGATGATGGAGGAGAGGATCTGTTCGTGCATCAATCATCTATCAAGGCGGATGGGTTCCGAACGCTGGCTGATGGAGAGCCGGTTGAATTCGGCATCGCGGAGTCGGAGGATGGACGGACTAAGGCCGTTGATGTGACGGGACCTGATGGGGATTTTGTTCAGGGAGGCAACACGTCAGGCGGCGGCGGTGGGGGCCGGAGGGATGGGTATGGCGGTGGTGGTGGTGGTGGAGGTGGACGAGGGGGTGGAAGGTATGGTGGAGGTGGATACGGGTTTAACGGTGGTGGTGGAGGTAGGGGAGGTGGTTGGAGGGGTGGCGATGGCGGGGGGTATGGTGGGGGGGAGGGGGGGGGGGGGGGGGGGGAGGAGGAGGAGGAGGACATTATGTTATTCTTTTACTTTGAAATTTTTTTATTGTTTCCCTCATATCTCTAGATGTGTTTACCTGTGGAGAAACTGGCCATTTCGCGAGGGAGTGCCCATCTGGTCCGAAGTGAGACTTTACCTACATCTCCTTACTTTTTTGTTTCTGCTTCGTTAGATTATCTTGTAGTTTGATGATATGGGCTGCTTCCCTTGTGTTTCTCCTCTATTTTTCTTTTATATTTTTGTGTTGTATGCTCTGGTAGGGCATGAAGATTGTGGTTTTTTTGTCTTTTTTTATTTATAACTTGGACGTGAATCATGCGATTTGGTTTTGGTTAGGTTTTGTTGTTCATTTTTGGTGATTTTTTTTTTTTTTTTGACAAGGGAATGTGTAATATGAACTGTATGAATGATGTGCTTTATATATGAGTCCAAGCTATTTCCAGTCATTCTGCAAGTTTGATTTAGTGAAGCTCGAGTGGCTCAAAAGATGTGATTTTTGGCGTCGTTGCTGTGAAATCTTGCTGAAAAGTGATGAACTTTTTTGGCTTTTTTGCTTCAATACTTGCTATTTTTCAGTCAGAAATCTTTGAATCAGTTAGATTTTGGTAAATCATTGTTTTAGTCAATAAGGGGCAAACTGTAATTTTCAAAACAGTAGATTTATATTTACCATAAATAAATTTCACGGGATTTAACGGAATGCTGTTAAAATCATGCCTGAAATAGGATTCCGAGCAAATGCTTGCCCTATTTGATTGGATTTCGAATATTGTGCCATTTATAATGCCTGAAATGTTAAGTTTACTTGTTGGGCAATGCGGTCTTATTTTTGTGTTTGCTTTGTGCACATTACCTTGCTTTTTGTCTATATTATTGCTTTTTAGCACTCGTGATTGTAGAAATTGACAGTTTTCTGCTCAGGGTTTGTTTATTACGAGGCTGTTTGGTTGTGAGTGAGATTTAGTAAATTCTTAGGGTGTTTATATCTGCGCGATCTGATTAAGTAGTATTTATCAAATCCGGATTTCCGGCGAGCTCTTATTGAGCGAAGGTTACAAGTAACGGTAACGTAAATTTGGCAAAGCCATCTTTCTGTTGGATTTGATAAATCTGAATTTGCAGACAGAACGACTGAAGAGAAGACAAAACGGCTAAATTTGGATTTTTTTTTTTTTTTTTTTTTTGGGTGTGATTGGATTTGAGTTAAATCAAATCCATGGGCAAATCCTGTTAAAACTATGCTACCAAACACCCTCCAAATCCATATTCAGATGTTGTTTGGCTGTAACTTGGATTTACGTTAATTAGGATTTATCAAATCAAATAAATCTAAATTTATTCAATTCATTGTGCGATTGATGAACTCACGAGCAATAAAAGAATGAATCTGCCTTGTAATCGGATTTAATAAATTTGGATTTACGACATAAAAGTGACAATAGCGAGAAAAAAATGTGGAACATGAGAAAATTCAATTTAACTGAGCGTTGGATTTAATTTTCATTTTATTTGGTGTTTGGATTGATTTAAGTTAAATCTCTAAATCCTATAAAAAATATACCACTAAACACCGCCTAAATTTTGAGAGGATTAAACTGCTAACTATCTGATTTAACAACTAATAAGCTCCAATCAATCCTAATAAACTGTTTGAATCTCAATGAAGGTGGGATTAACAAATTTTAATTGCAACTAACAGTGGGTTTAAGCTTGTGCTTTGAAATGGGATTAGTAGAGATAATAGTGGATTTAAGCCTGCCAAAGTTTAGGTTTTGGATATGTAAATACATAGGACTTTGGGTGGGTATGTATGTAAATGCCCCATTTTGCTTAACGCTCTTCATTACTACTTGTCTTATGCTTAAATCCAAAATTGTTTTGATTAATAGCATTCAAAGCACATGCTTTAAACCAATTGCTAATTATAATTAAAAATTGTTAGTCCAGCCTTAATCGAGATTCTAACAATTTCTTAGGATTAAGTAGGATTTATTAGTTCTTATAGCAGTTTAATCCTCTAAAAACAACATCATAATAAACAAACCGTAAGTAGAAAAGGATCAATTTCTGCAATCATCCAAGGATTAAAATGCAAATTGGGAAATTTACATACAACTGATTCCTTTTTATTTATCTAACACCTAAACTTTTTTTTTTTTTTTTGCTTAAGAATTGTTTGGTTAGATATATAAATACATAGGAATTGTGTAGCATGAATGTAAATTTTTTTTTGTTTTGCTAATATATGAGTATCTCTCTCTCTCTCTCTCTCTCTATATATATATATATATAAAGGAAATAGAAGAGAACAGTATAAATTAGAGAAATTACATATCATACTTGATGTTTGATTACATATATGACACCATAGTATTAAAAATTTATGCTTCAAAATATGTATTTCGCATTTACAATGTGTTTGTGCTGTTTTTGATATGATGGTTTGAGTGTTAAAAATATAAATATGAAAAGTTTAGTTGTTAGATATGTAAATATACAAAAATTGTGGTATATATGGAAATGGCCTTAAATATTATAATAAATAATACTATTCACGTGGATTGTATATATTATTGTTGTACGACGATGAATTATGATCTTCTATTTTGAATTATTGTGGTGAGTAGTTGATGAGACTCTGAATAATGTTTTAATGAAGGTTTACATATATACCACTAAATTCTTATGTATTTGCAATTCTGACATCTTTATTTTCATTTTTAAATGCATAATTGTTATTTTTTTTGGTTGTTTAGGGTTTAGGTTTGAGAGGTATGAATGTAAAAGTAAATTTTTTATTCTTGTTATACATGCAAATGCTCCATGTTTTAGGGCTCATTTGGGCCGGCTTATAAGTGCGGCGATATTTTTGAAAACGCCGCCTAATCTTTTGGTTTGCGTGTTTTTGTACGAGTTTTGATTTTCGACCTGCGGGCCGCGTTTCAGGATAAGTTTATTATCCTTAGACACACAAGCTACCCCAAAGAGACGCTTATTTGCATATGACAATTATATGCACACTGCCTGTTAATTTTTGCCGGGTGTCATAACTTTATACTGTGCACATGGTGCCCATCCCATTGAAACAGGAATAAATAAATAAATAAATAAATAAATAAATAAAGATATAACTTGTAAGATAGAAGAATTTACATACACACCACCCAATTCTTATATATTTTTGATTGAATGCCATAGTTGCAAATAAGAATTAATATTTATGTCTATTTGATTTAACTGCTTTTTTGCTTTGGAGTTTATTATGATTTTTTAATTTCTTAGGATTATATGTGCATGGTATTATTGTTTTAAAAAATTTAAGAAAAATTTTGAATTAATTTGAATTTAATTTCAATATTTTGTTATATTTTATTTAAGTGTATTATAATTAAGTTTAATTTGCTTATGGAATCTTATAATTCTATGCATCAATGGACAATTTATCAAATTTTAGAAAATCGATTTGATCTTGAGCCTGTGGTAAGGCTGCTTCGAATAATATAACAATTCCTTTTTAGTTGCGAACCGTTTAGAACCTATCAAACTCACACTTTGATTTTTAGACTAACGAATTGATCAAATCGCATATTCGTCCCGCACGATCAATTTCGTGTGATATTGAGAGAACTAAGGGCGTCGCGACTTGGCATAGGGGCGCAGCTCTTGTGTGGTTTTGTGTTGTAGAGATTTACGACCTTCTGGTCCTGGTCGACTGGATTCTTAACTATAATTGTTTTATGTTTTCTATTGTTATATCATTATTTTATCATTTTGATAATATTTTAATTATAGAGGGTTAAATGATTTTATATTACAATCAACAAGGAGTAGGGCCCAATGTCCATAAAACATCATAATAGAAAAATGATGGCCATACAAAGAATAACATCAACATCACATTACAAAAGATAACATTGCATATAGCAAATAGGCAAACATTTTGCATTCATGATGTAAACATCAAAGAATAGAATATAGAGGTTATGAAAGAGTAGAGTACATTTCAATTGAATCAATTCCAAGCATCCAAAAGTAACAAAATCAACATCAGAGGTCTTAAATATCATATGACAATAATTGATATAAAATCTAAAATCGTTTTTTGAGTCTCGATAAGAGCATTTGGGTATGATCGTGCATCGCCAAAACTCTAGAAAATATCGAGCAAAAACTACAACAATAGAAAATCAATCGACTTAGAGAGCCAAAGAAAGACAATGTAGCCACTCTCCACCAAAAGGGACCGTGCGGAAACCGAATAATTGAAAGTGAGCATCAATAAAAAAAATATACATTAAATAATAACACATCATAGAATAAATGTCATGTATAATAGATGGAATTTACTCTTTTAGATTCAATTTTTTACTTTTTACTCTTTTAGCATATATATTATATTATATATATATATATATATATATATAATATTATACGAGTCTCAAGCCACCTCTACTGTGCCTAACAATTCAAGTACCACCTCCTTAAGGTCAATTGTGTCAGAGGGAATTCAAACCCCTTACCGAGGGGTCTCATGCCATGGATGCTAACCAACACGCCAGGATACGTGGCGCGCACACACACACATATTATATATATGTATATGTATCTATTTGTATGTATTTATCTGTATGTGTATTTAAAAAGGTGAATTAATATTTGGTCAACGGGCACCAAATATCGACCCCCTTTAAGGGTTGAAAATCCTGGTGTGCTTGCTCCTGATCCGAAGAGCCCGCTTCACAGGATTCGAACCCCTGACCTGAGGGACTTATGCCAGAGACCGCACCAATGAGCCAGGTCATTCTCATATATAATCGCTAATTGAAATTTAGATAAATTTACACATATTTTATAAATTTTTTTATATATTACATATCTAACCCTTAAATTTGATGTTTATATTTATAGCAAATTGGTGTTATAAATATGCACGAAGGGCTTAATTTGAAATTTAAAGAGTTAGTAATATCAATATTTTTGATGTGTTGTTAGATATGTGTGTTGGGTATGTAAATATGATAATTTATGTGTTAGAAATGTAAATAAATATGAATTTAGTGGATTCTTTAGGAAGGAAAATCATTTGTCAAAGAATTTTGAGAGTAGGGCTTTGATTTCAGCTTGAAGATCGTTAATCGCTCGAAAATTGATTCAAATTTTAGCTCGGATTAAAATAATTGAGCCAAGCTATGAGAAAAATCTTTCGATAGAATTGTTTTCGTGTGGATTTGAGCCATACATGGATGGACTAGAACTTGCTTAAGATCAGCTCGTATTATTTTTTATTTATAAAGTTATATATAATGAAAAAATAAATAAATATAACGAGCTACAAGCCCATTGCGAACCGAAACAGATCCAAATAACTCAAGTTTAGCCATCTTGATCAATTTCGAGCTGAAATGGATCCAAATAGCTCAAACTTTAGTCGGCTTTATTTTTTATTTCAAGTCGGATACAACTTGATTTAATTCAATTCTAGAACATAATAAGCCACGAGATGATTTTGATCTGAGCTCTTGAGAGAGATAATTCAAATATGATTTTGGCCAAACTTGCGTACTTGTGACATGATTTGTTTGAATTTTGGCATATTACTTAAATATGTGATAAAATAATAATGGCATGTCACAAGTTACTAAAATATATGGTTAAAGACTCTAATGATGATTGATGATAGTGCAGACTCAATTCGTATGATGAAAGTAAGCCTTGTTCTATGTTTTATTTCATTTTATAGAGTCTCGCCAAGCTTAAGGTCTATGGAGTAATAATGAACCACACAACTCAAGGGTTATCAAGACTATGTTTTAAGTTATGTTGGGTTGATTACCTTTGTAGCTAAATAGACCTAAAGTCTCATGAGTCGTGAGGATGGATTCCTAGAATCTTAATTGAGCCATGACTATGGATTTGTCTGGGGCAGCTACAACTTATTAAAAAACAACTATGAAACTACTGAATAATAATCTGTTGCTCAAAAAATTATAGTGACTGTTACAAATATACAATTTTTTTAAAGTTAAACTATAACTAGAAAGCTGCCGCCGCACTTAGCGAGGAGTGGTGGGAAAACACAGATTTTAGCGGGAGTTTTTTTAAACATGTGTCAAAATACAGTTTACCTAAACAGACACAATTAGTGAGCGGTGTCGCACCGCCGCCCCAAACGGACACTATATGTCTAGAAGTTACTTATCATTTTCTTATAAATATATGTGTGTGTAAACATGCATCCATTTATGTTATGAAAGTTATGGAAGTGATATATTAAGACAAAATTGTAAGGCTTATCTAACTATTTATGAGTTTGAGAGAATTAAGCAAGGATTAAAAGATTTGACTTTGCATGCTTCTATGGAGGTCCAAATAGATGAAACTTCTTTTGGGCATTGAGTCATGCATTCCACACAATTCTTATATCATTGCACATTTAACCTCTAAATATTCATATTTATATACATAGGAGTGAATTATGTAACATTGCAAAAAAACTATTACCATCCCCATCTCTTTAAAACATAAATATACATTTGCATTACTAAATCCAAGATTTACATCAAAATCTACAAAAAAAAATCAAATTTTATTGAAGATGGGATTCAATTTATATTTTTTTAACGTAGGACTTATTCTAAATCTTAATGTAAATCTTAATTAAAATGCGAATCTAATATCCCCTTAATAAATCGAGAATTAAGTTTAAGGATTTTAAATCCGGTGGTAAATATTATTATTATTTGCTATTAAATAAGATTTTATTATGTACAACGATCATATGTCCGGACGACGATCCAAATGAGCTGATGACAACTAAATTCAGACAATTTGGACCTGTAATGATCGACACTTAATAATTTTCATACAAAAACCTTGAATTTTTATTTTTTGGAAAAATGCCCAATTTTATCAGTAGAAAATGAAGAGATTCATGCACAAATACAACTCACACAACTAACAAGGCAGGAAGAAAGTACCTATGAATAATTACAAAAGAAAATTAGTAACAAAACACAATAAAGAAGAAAAAAACATAGAAAAAAAGAAAGTTGTAACAAAATTTTCAAAAAGATGAATAAAAACAAGCAGCCAAGATCAAATACTAAAGAACAAACAATGGGATGTGATAGCTGTTGTTAGCCGTTTATTTTCTCCCTTAATTAATATAAACAAAAATTTCAGTTTCGAGTGGTTAGTGTTGAGAAAGGTGAAGAAAAACAGGAATCGACACAAAACCAGAAGAACACAGAGATTTAACGAGGTTCAGCAAAGATGCCTACGTTATCGGGAGCAGAGCGGCGAATTCACTATTTCAGAGGAGTCCAGTTCATACCCATAGAGTTACACATCATATATATAGATAAAACTCATAGATAAAATTAACAACACGCCCTCGCTCCCCCAACCTATTAAATTCCAAGAGACACACCTCTTCGTTCCAAGAGACATAACTCTTCACACCAAGAGACACATATCTTCACTCCAATAGACACTCATCTTCATTCTTGGAGATACAACTCTTCAATTTCAAGAGACTCTAAATTCTGGTATATGAGCCATACCTAACAAATCCCCACCTTGGCGAATATCCAACCCGTTAGAAGAAATATATAAACCCAACAAATCTTCATCTTGACGAATATCCAGTCCCTTGGGAGATAAAAAATATGATGAAATTTTTTACACCGTAGTAAGTTAGATAACCATGCCGTCTAACAATTGCAAACTTTTTTTTTAATTTCTTTTTTTTTTCTTCTGATCTGGCTTACAGTAATGCCAAAAATTAAAGTAACAACAAGGTGCTTCTTCTCGTGTAATTTAGTAAAGGTAATCACAAGTCAGCTCGCTGTTCGACTCCACGATTCGGCACAGCTTATTTTTAGGGAAATAAACGGCAGGGAAGATGGTCATGGCGATGGCGATCGCCACGGCCACTAGTGCTCTATCGAGGCGTTATTCTGGTCTAGCTCCTCATGTATTCTCTACCATTTCCCCAACACCCTATGGTTTCTTCTTCTCCACTTCGACCTTAAATGAAAGCTTCTCTATCCGTTCACACGCGCTCCGTCCTCTGACGCCGCCGTCAGACGGCAGCGATATCGGAGACGATGATACAGGGCTGAAAAATAGCAGAGATTCTTTCAAGAAGAGTCGCAATGAGCTCAAGAGAGAGGCTCGCCGGGCTGTTCGCTGGGGGATGGACCTCTCGACGTTTTCCCTTCCGCAGATTAAAAGCATACTTAGGTATTATTGTTCCATCGATTAAGATTCCTTTGGGCTTTATGAATTACTTAGGTTTTTTTTTTTTTTTTTTACTTTGGATTTTAGGGCTGCTTCTCTCGAACGAGAGGTGTTGGATGCCATTTTGCTGGTGAAGGTTCCGAGTTGGACTCTACCTGTTTACTACATCATTTAGATTTTGTTGTAATTTGATTGAATATTTTTGGTTTTCAGAGATTGGGTCCTGATGTTCGAGAAGGAAGGAGGCGGCAATTTAATTTTATTGGTAATGTATTGGATTATTTGACTCTCCATTTTACTCATTTTCCTGATGACAGTTATTTTTTTGGCAGAGTGAATATATTCCAATTCTTGATTCGTTTCTGCTAAGTGACGTTTTTTTTTTGTGAATTCTCATAAATTACATAGTTGCAATGGATGATTGGTAATGCTGTATATGGAGGATTAAATGTTTTCTTCAGACTGAGATTGTAAGCTGAATATTTCTTCAAGGAAGATTTACATACATGCCACTCAATCCTATATATTTACATATCTAGCACCTATACTTCAACCTTTATGTATATACCCCCTTTCCTATGCATGAAAAGGTGCATTTCACTTTTTAGAAGTTAAAAATGTGGCATTTTTGATGTGATATAAAAGATTTTGGTTGCATAAATGTTAAAAAGCAAAGTTTTGGTGTTAGCTTTGTAAATACATAGACATTGAGTTGTATCTATGTAAATGCCTTTTTCTTCAAACTGAGTTTGTGAGCCTATGAAATGTTGCAAATGATCTTTATTACCTTAATTTATAACTTTTTAAACTAAATGATTTGGCCAAATGTATGTGTTTTGCCTCCTCAAATGTGGATTTATCTTACCATACTGACATCTTGGAAAAATTATTTGCGGGGATTAAGGAAGTATTGATGATTGATCAACCAATAAGTAGTTAACAAGTGGCATATGCACACTACTCTACACAACTTCGTACACACACCTTTGGCACCTTCCTCATCTTTGTCGCCCTCATGTAATCATTTCTTGACATCAAGTGTCATATAATAGCAAACCTCTTTTTTTGTTTTTGTGTGAGAAAAAATTACAAATTATGGTTTGTAGTGATTTCTTTGCTATATTATTGGAAATAATTTGATTGGAACCAGACAAGCTTCCACGGAGATCAGGATAAAATAAAATGTTTTCCTCTTGCACAAAACAATACGATACCAAATACATTAAAGATAAAGCTACAATTCAAGAGGTAGACAATACTCTCCTAAACTAACTCCTAAGATTCAAAACAACAATCACATTTTGTAACCCTAATCATCTTAAGTCTTATTTATACCCAATAATAATAATTAACAAATGAATAAATTGTTCTTTTAGTTTTGCGCTTAAAATAAGTTTTCAAATTATTTGACGGGTTTGGTGTTGGTTCAATAGGACTACTCAACTCAATGAAGCACGAGACAAAAAGTGCTATAGATGTCGGACTAACATTACTCCTTTTCCAATAAGACACCTTGCCCTTAAGGTAGAACAGAGAAAAATGTTATTGGATCAAGTCGTATGTCTCTCGCGTGGCATCATATTTTGACAACCTATTTTCATTTAATCATGAATTATTTCCCATATGTTGATTCCTGGTATACCCTTTTGAACTCCAGTGACTTAAAGAGAACTTCTACATCCTCAGTCAAAATATGGAGAAGTGAAGAAGATGGCACATTATCACCAATTGCGAGGGAGGTGAAAATTTTAAACGATAAGCCATGCACTAGTGCACATTTGATGTTCACATCCGAATTTGATTGTATATTTGTATGTTGACTTCAAATCAATCTTGAAAAGTAATGCGGCCCCAAATAATCTGCCCAACAACTCATCAATTATCAGGATGGGAAATTTGTCAGGTACCATTTCCTTATTCATTGCCTAATAATCAACATAGAAATGCCAACTCTCATCTTTCTTCTTCACTAGCAAGGTCGGGTTAGAGAAGGGACTCACACTAGGCTGTATGATCGGCGCCTCCAACTTCTCTTGGATCAATCCCTTGATCTCGTACTTCTACACCTAGAAGTAGCGGTATGAACTCACATTAACTGGAGAAACTCCCAGCCTCAAAGTCATCACATGCTTGTGTTCCCTTTGAGGAGGCAATTCGCGTTGCAATTAGAAATGTTTTTGCAAACTATTGTAGAGCTGTTGGACCGGTGATGGAATCCCTACCAATTTCGTATCATGTGTCTCTTACATGCTATGTAACTCGATCAATAATCCAAATGCTGCATCCTGAATTTTCCTTACAATGATTTTGAGTGTCACCAAGGTATTGCACAAATTAGGGTCTCCGCAAAGCACCATCCTCTTGACTTCCTTTTGAAACTCCTTTGTCAGGAGCTTCAAATTCATCTTAGTCTACCATAATGATTGAAACCTTTTTGTACTCAATATAACATCAGTGCTCCCTAAATCCAAGAGAAGAAAATCTTCCAACACCTGAATATTTTGCACTGGTAAAATGAGCTGTTTACATATTCCAAAGCTCTTTTTCACCTATCCCGTTCTCATCATTACACCAAAGCTTCTTGTGTCAATAATCTCAAATGTAATTGCTCCACTACTTGAGTGGACATGAAGTTGTGGGTGACCCTGCTATCTACAATATCACTACGTCCTGCTACCCGATTTGTCCCCGAAGTTTCATAGTGTGGTTTGGTGTGAACCCCTTCACCGAGCTTAATGAGATTTCTATCAAATCCAAGTGAGGGTGTTCCTCCTTCCCCACCACAATCTCTTCTGTTTCTTCATTTTTTGCATTGTCCTCATCACACACTGTGAGAACTGCTAAATCCAATCCTTGCAACTGTGTCATAGGGAAAATTTTCTTATCACACCAAAAGCTTAGCCCTTTGGCTTGCTTCTCTTGAATCTCTTGAATCTTTGTCTCTGTAAGGCATTTGAAAGTTACTTCTGGTCGTGACCCATTATTCCTGTTCCGTGGGTCCTCCCTCTAGAATCCCAATGTCTGAGTATTTGGTACCTTCATGGTTGTAGCATTTAAATATAGCGCTCCAATTATGTGTCTCCTATTAGACCATTCCATTGCATTTTTTTCTTCAATCAAATGCATTAACTCTATAAATTTTCCTAATCCTCATTGTCTCAACACACGAAGTGTTGTTCGAATCTTTGACTTCAACTTCTTCATGAAATTTCTTTACAATAATACTTCCGATAGTCCTATAAAATGACTGAATATCATCTCAAAATTTTCCCTATAATCTATGACAAATTCTTTCTGGACCAATAAAAAAAATGCTCGTGTAAATTTTTTTTCATGCATGATTCTAAAACGCTCGAATAATCAGTCTTTTAATTCTTCTATGTTTTGATTTTTTGACCTTATTCTATTTATTAATAAAATGCTAAAGTCTTCCCTTCCAAACATAGAGCCGCTGCTGTCAATTTTTATCTCAACAAGTTGAATAACAACAAAGTATCTCTCTACATGATAAATATAACTGTAGGCATCATCTCGTTCAAAGATCGACAACTTCAGCTTCCTTATGCATGAGCCACCTCCTCAATTTCTTAGACTAAAGTTCGTTCCACTTATGAAGCGGTGGTTAGGTTCTCTTCCTCGACCCATATTGATTTCTCTTCATCCATAAGTCTGGCTCGCCCCATATTCAGCTCGTTTGTTTCCATAGGCTCATCATCGCATTCCGCCTGTAAGGCTGCCATGATTCCTGCAGCAGAAGGCACTGACACGTTTGGATGCATCCCTCAGTCGGGGTCCACCGACCTTGTTTCTTTGTTCTAGATCGAAATCCTTCAAATTGATCTTTCCATTCCCGAATCACATGTCATTATCCCGTTCTAATAGTTGTTGTTCACTCCAGTCTCCTGATGTCGCAAAATCTCTCCTGGCCAAATTCCTTTGAATCGGTTGTCTCCAGGACCAAATCACATGTTGCCATTTCGTTCCTTCTGCTTTCTCTTGTTCTAGCCGTCCTGATGTCGTGTGATTTCTTTCATTTGCTACCGCTTGAGTTTGCTCCAAACACCTTCACTCGATTTTGTAACCCTAGATCCGCTTAAGTCGGCGGCGCTGCTCCCTGCAAAACTCTGATGTCTCTTGATTCCTTTCGGCTGCTGCCACTCGAGTTTGCTCTAGAAATCATTGATCGATCCCATGATAGGCGGCGGTGAGTTTGTGTGGAACTATGCGATCTTCTTCATCATTTCTTCCAGGGCTTGAATTGCCCCTCCATGGATGAAAACCTCCCATCCATGACGAGAAACACTCCTCCATTCCTGGTTTGATTTGACTCACCTCTTCCTATAATTTCTCCTTCAAAACATCGACTTTCTTGGCTGACATTACTTCCAAGTGTGGGATACCAATTTGATAGGAATGAGACAAGTTTCCACAAAGATTAGGGTAAAAGAAAATATTTTACTTTCTAGATACAAAACAATATGATCCCAAATGCATAAAAGATAAAATTACAATTCTAGAGATAAACAATTCTCTCCCAAACTTTAACTCTTAAGATTCAAGACAACAATCACATACCCTAACCCTAATCATTTTAAACCCTATTTATACCCAATAATATTAACTTAAAAATGATTAAATTATCATTTTAATCTTGTGTCTAAAATAGGTCTTGAAATTATTTGGCGGGTTCGGTGTGGGTTTAGTGGGTCCACTCGATTTATTGGAGCACAAGGGGGAAAACGCCGTTGACGACAAGCTAACATAACTCTTTAATTAATAAATATTTATTTTTGTGAAAATTTGTTAGAAGTTATATAAGGAAATAATTTATTTCTTTTAAATGTTATGAGGCTTAGATTTATTTCATTTCTTATTTTATGCTTTCTTATTTTATGTTGTTACGAGCAGTTAATTTATTTCATTTTCTGTTTTATGTTTTCAATTTTTATGTTGTTTCCTTTGTGTCCAAATAATTATTAGGAATTGATTAATTGAAGTTATATGTGTTATATAGTTTCTTTCATGTTATTTCCTTTTTCTTGTCTTTCATATTCTAGGATTCATGTAAGGGTATTTAACCCCCTTTTATGTCAATAAAATAATTTCGTTGTCAACATTGTGTAAGAGTCTTGAAATAAACCCTAGATTCTCCTACCACCAGATTCATTGCAACCGTCAATCTTTGTCGTGCTACAGTCCATTCCTCTGCCTCATCTTTTTAGTTTTTTCGTCGGAAACTTCCTCTCCTTGTAGTCCCCACCGTCG